CAAAATTTCTAAGCCAGCCTCAGTAGCTTCATGAGATCTTGTCTCAGATGAAAACCTAAAAGAGAGGAGGGGAGGCTGGCGAAAGAGCCTAGTGATATGATGTTTACCCAGCCTGCTTGAGGCAATGGTCAATCCTCAGTATGGGCGGGGGCGTTCATGATTCACAGCAATGCTTAGAAATAACTATTTGAGGGGATGGGGATATATAGCTCAGTGGCACAACACCTACCTGGCAACTGCAAGGTCCTGAGTTCGAGTCCAAGTACAAAGAAAAGAAAAGAAAAAACTATTGGCCATCACTGGCGAATCTTGATCTACTGATTATCTTCATTCATAAATAAAGGCAAACAAAGGGAATTAACAGTTCTGCCTTTCCCAAATGAACTGTCCCATTGGGAACCAAACAGTAGGTGAGAAAAGAGCCTGCCTCTCTATAGAACTATGTCACCCAGGCCCTGCAGTGTGGCTCAGTGGTATAGCACATACTTAGCATGCGCAGGGCCCTGGACCCCGTCCCCAGCACCAAAAATAGAAACGAAAAATACATCAGCAAAGAAAGTGAAGAACAGCACTAATACCATTCATTTCCCCACTCCCAACACACACACAAAGTCGTCCATGCTGGCCTTCACTCTATATAACCTGGGCTGGCCTCAAACTTGTGGCAATCTTGCTGCCTCAGCCTCCCAAATGCTGGCATTACAGGCATGTGCCACCATGCCTGGCTTAATAACTACTTTGCAATACTGAATAATCCAAAGCATTTAGGCTCTAAACATCAAAGCTGCTAGCATTACACAAAAAGAGATAACATCCAGTCTCTCTTGATGGAAACACATCCCCACTGTGACGTATCCCAGTCAAAATGAAACTGTCTCACCAAGCACATACAGCAGTGCTGTCTAACACAACTTTTTTTTTTTGAGACAGGGTCTCATTATGCAGTTCAGGCTGGCCTTGAGCTCACTTTGTAGCCCAGGCTGGTCTCAAACTTGCAACGATCCTCCTGCCTCAGCCTCCTGAGTGCTAGGATTATAGGCGGGCGGCACCACGCCCGGCCCCAACACAATTTTCTAGGGTGACAAAAAAAATGGTATTCTGTGTTGTCTAGGACAGAAGCCACTGAGCATACATGGCCACTCAGCACTTGAAATTCTTTTTCTGGGGCTGGGACTTGAACCTAGGACCTTGTGTGTGATAGGCAAGTGCTTCACCGCTGAGCCACACCCAAGCCCAAGGAGCCTACTTTCCCACCTAATTAAAAGCCACTGTGCCTATGGGAACCATACTGGACAATGCAGTGTAGCCCCGACCACCCACCCATGGGAGAAGATTCCGAGACCAAGGACTGTGCAACACCTTGGCAGGGTGTTCAGCCAAACCCAGACTGGTGCAAACTACAAAACAATTCAACTCGAATGGCCAGGGAACAGAAAGGGAAGGCACATGCATAAAGAGACCGAAAGATGAGAAAATTATACCACCAGGTGGGCTGACGAAGCAAACTGCGGAGAGCAGGGCTTGGCAAGGCGGTCAGCAAGGCGGACACAACCGCTGACGTGGGTGTGATCGCACACTTCAGCCTCAGCCATCCGAGGCACATGCTAAAGTATTTATGCCTGAAACACAGTCATGCACTCGTGCGGTGTGAGAACAGCTCACAATGTCTCCTCGGACCATTCTGAGGACGCAGAGCTGCTTACACAAGGGACAGAGGGCGGGGCCTTAGCATCTCCCAGGACCACAGCTGCAGGTGTGTGATGCCTGAGATTTGCTGGAAAGTCACATTTGGGAGAGCAGAGTGGGTGAGGATGGGCAGGACTGGCCGTGAGTAATGGTGACTGGGGCAGGTGACAGAGCTGTACTGCACGGCAGGGAGTCCACCCCAGGTTCGCTCATCCGTCACTGCCGGGGGAGTTGACCAGAGAGCCAGGTAAGAGGTCGAGAATGCTTCGATGGGATCTAAACTCGCTTTCTTCTGAAGAACCCACAGGAGGACAGCTTGGGTGATATGGGGTCAGAGGACATGGAGCACAGGCACCTGCTCCAGCTGCTGCCAGGCTCCAGTCAGCTCTGGACTTTACTTCTGGGCAGACTGTAGAGACAGGAGGGTCAGCACACCCTGGGCCTCTCTGCCCCGCTGCTAGAGATCTGCAAATGTGGCCCTCACACTGCAGAAGGGGCCGTGGGAGACCTGGCGTAAACACCTTCCGGGAGGCAGTATCTCCCTCCTATCTGTTCAGTAAATCACAGGGCCCGCGGTGGTGGAGAGCGCCTTTCACAACCTGCCCGGAGGCCTGGGTCTGAGGCCCAGGGCAGGGCTGTAGCAAGCGGGGCTGGCCGCCTTCCCAAGCTGCTCCAGTCACCACTGTGAAGACGTAGGTCATTACTAGAGCAGCACCGCACTGGGCATCAGCACACCTGCTGTGGCCACTGTCCGGGCGACTTCCTGCTGGGCCACTGGGCATCCACAAAAGCACTAAACACGCGTCCATTAACCTACCTGACACTTCAGAGGCCCATCCTATTCTTTTCCCATTGTACAGATGAGGGGACTAAGGCTTCAAAAGGAGATAAGGGATCCACAAGCATCCACAGCAGCACCCACACTTCTTGGTGTGGCCCTAAGACAGTCTTGGCTCGTCCTAGGAGCAGTCCCCACTCTGAGTCCTTTCCTTACCCAAGCTGCCCACATGCCCTAGGGCCCGCCCTCTCCAGTCTCCACAGCCTCTAAACCCACATCAGATAGGATCGCATCCTTGCTTGGGCTTCTGGTTTGACACTGTACTGACCTGTGACAAAGTTAACAATAGCTGTGTCTCCCCACCCACCCAGGTAACAGCTACAGTTAAGGAACGCACACCTGGGCCCACCCTTCCATCCTCCATCCTCACACTATCAGGAAGGGGTCATCATTATCTCCACTTTACAGATATGGCAACTGAGGCCCTGAGGAACAAACAATTAACTCAAGTCGCACGGCTCTGCAGCTGACAAAGCTAACCGCCACAGCTAGAGGCAGGGAGCCCAGGGAGGGTGGCTTGCTGCAGTCCGATGGACACCAACTAAAGCCTGCTCTCCCTCTGGTGCCCAGCAAGGACCTTCAAGCTACGAAAACTAAGTCATTAAAGCAATGCCCTGGGCAACGGTAGCCAGTGGTAGGACCCCCACCTAGCATGCATCGAGGCCCTACGTTCAAGCCCACCGAAGAAAAAAAAAAAAAGGCAATGTCACCCATCAGGACTGGGCCTCCTGCTTGGCGACTTTCTTCCTGGTCCAGTAAAGACACTAATTGTTAGGGAAACTGAAAGAGTTCAGCTGCCTCGATTGAGAATGTGAAAACTGCCAACACCCCAATCCCCACTCAGGGACTGGAGATTGGGCAAAGGGCCTCAGCACTGAGCTACACCTCCAGTCCTTTTTATTTTTTATTTTCAGGGGTGTCTTTCCGAGTCACTAAGTTGCCTAGGCTGGGGTAAAACTTGTGATCCTCCTGCCTCAGCCTCCCAGAGTGCTGGGATCACAGTCGTGTGTAGCCAGCACCGCTGGCTGCTTGGGGCACATTCACACCAAGATGCCTCCATTTCTGGAGCAGAAGCAGAGAGCCCTGCAAGGGGTGGCGGCGGGAACACCCCTTGCTAACGGTCCGGGAGCGGAGGGCGCCCCTCCCCCGCTCGCTGGAGGTTGGAGCCGATTGGGTGCTTTCTCCCCTCAGGGCCGGGTTCCAATGGCGCTATCCGCCCGAGGCAGGAAAAAAAGTCCCCCAGGGTTGGTTAGGGGCTGGCTCTCTCTCCCAGCCACTTGCTCTCCAGGGGACTCTTGGCTGGGGTGGGGGACAGAGGGGCAAACTGGCTACAGCGGTTCCCAAAACAACGTTCCAATTGTCCTTCCAGCCTAGTGATAAACATGCAAGTAGGGCACTTTGTAGAATTTCCCCAAGGGCAGCGCGCTCCACCAGCCCCTGCAAACCTTCCCCTCCCACTTAACTCCACCTGGCCCAGAACCGCTTGGGGCCAGGTGACTCTGGACCTCAGCGACACTCCCAACTGCTAAGTCCCGGGGGCGGTTGACCACATCTTTTAAAGCGCAAGGCTCCGGCCTCGACCCCAATTCATAACCAAATGCGCCCAGCCCACCCAGGGGCCAGCTGAGGAGCCAGGAATGTGCATAGAAAAAGGGTGACCCACCCACCCCACCTCACCCCGGCAAAGTAACGGCCCCTTACCAGCCACGGCTACCTGGGGTTCTCCCCCACGCCACTTCACCCTACCCTCCGCTTTGTAGTGCCCGGAATCCTCGCCTGCCTCTCTGGGTGGCACTGTCGCCCACCAGGCAAGGTACACAGGTTGGGAGAGTCAGATCCCCACCGCAACCTCTAGCTGGCAAGGGAGGGGGCGAGGGTGGCAGAACGGGGTTCCTTCGTCCGCGGTTAGCGGATCCCTCCCGCCGGGATAATCCTGGAACTTCTACCCCCCGCGCAGGTGGGCACCGAGACAAGAGGTCGCTGACAATTTAAAAATTCTCCGTGGGGCGCCGAAGGACGACCATAGAGGAGACCGATACTTCATCCACCGGGTTTGGGCGCTAACTTAGGTGAACCCCTCTACGTATTAGCCTGACGCACAAAGGTCTGAGGGAAGACACTTCCAAAGCGTCCACACTGACTCGGTCTCAGCCGCGCTCCAGAGCCCGCCCGGGGCACTGTCGGGATCACAAGGGGCACAAGATGTCGTCACCGTCTCCTTTCCGACCCGGGTTCCCAGGCACGCGTCTCGCTCCGCACGCCGTGGGCTCGGAGGGGAGGCGGCCATGCCTGGTCCTCCGCACGGCTCAGCGTCACGGAGCGCGCGTGGGGACCCGGGCGCAGGGCGGGAGCCCGGCGCGCGGAGGAGGCTGGCGGGCGCCCAGGGGCAGGTACAGAGGGCGGGGAGGGCGCCGGCCAGGGAGCCTGACGCCAGGGCGTGGCGCAGGTGGCGGCGGGGGCAGAGTCGACATCCTACCTTGATTTTCGACCTGACAACCGCGCGCTGCTTCTCCGCCAGGTGTCCATCTGCGCCCTCTGCGTCGCCGGGCTCGGGGGTGTCGCGGTCCGGAGCTCGCGGGGACGAGCTGCTCTCGGTGCCTCCGGGCTCGCCGGTGCTGCTGCTGCTACTGCCGTCGCTGCGACTGTCCTCAGCGCTATGAAACAGGCGTCCCAGGGCCACTGCGGGGCGAGGAAGGGGGGGCGCGGAAGGGCGGCGCCGCGAGACACACGCGGCGTCAGGCCCGGGCGCCCGCGGCAAGGACCTGCCGCCCGGGACCCGGGCACTTCGCCAAGCGGGCGGCGGCGCGGAGGTGGGCGACGTAGCCAGGAGTCGCTGCCTCGCACCAGCCGGGCGTATCAGGGTCCCGCCCTCAGCCCCAACCGCGGTGCCCACGGGGGACGGAGGGCCACGCGCCGCTCAGGATGCGCGCGCCAAGTTTTTTCGCGCCCAGGAAGACGGGTCTGATCTCCCTCCTCCTCCTGGAAAACCGGGAGTCTTTTATGCCCTCCCGTAGGGTGCAGGGAACCCCGGGGGGCCTTCAACCCCCTCCCTGGGCCACCTCAATCGCACTGCAGCCAACGGTTCCGCCGGCCGAGCAAAGACAGGCTCGCACCGAGGAGGAGCACAGGGCGCCCCTGCTTCCTGGCCTCTATTCGGCTCTCCCACCCAGGAAGAGTCCCGGGGGAGGGAACATGGGGAGGGGCCCCAGCCCCTTGCCCGCGAGGACCCGCCGCCCCCCTCACCATCCCCGGCGCCCACCTGGGATGTAGGCGTCCGCGCGGTTCTCGTCCGGGAGCGCAGCCCAACTGCGCTCCGCGGCGCCTGGGCTCCTGCGCTTCACCAGGAAGGCTTTGGGCATGGCGAGGCCCCCGCGCCGCCCGGCTCCGCTAGGCGCTGGTCCCGGCCGCGCCCCCCGCTCCTCCCCGCGCCCCCCCCGCCCCGCTCGTCCCTGCGCCCTGCGCGCCCACGACTCCCGCCTCGCCGACTCCGGCGCCTTAAATCCAGGCTGAGACCACGCCAGGGAAAAAGTTTCCTAAGGTGGAATAGAAAAGGCACCAGGAAACTTGGGAGCGAGCATGCGCCCTGCAACATAACGGTGTCAACAAGCTCGCTACCTGTCCGACCGGTTCCGGCGGCCGCGCGGCCTGTCCCAGCCCTTCCCGCGGCATGAATGTTTGCAAAATAATTTAACGTCTCAGCTCCCCCCTCCTCTTTTTAAAAAAGGGAGAACATTTTTTTAATCGACCCCTGCCCCTTTCCCCATCCCAGGGGCCTCGGGTAATGCAAAGCCCAGGTCCGCTTCCTGGGACCCCTCCCGCGAGTGGAGGCTCCCGAGTGGGCCCCAACCCCGCCCCCAAATGGATTTGACCACCACAAGCAAGCCGGAAAAGGGCTCGATTCCTCTGGGCCTCTCGGTCGTTCCCTGAGATTGCTGAAATCTCGGTGGTTGGAAGGAGGAGGCGGCCAGGAGCCGCCTGAGGACTCTTAGCTGGTAATTTGGGAGCTTAAGCTCCCCATCTACAACAGCACCCCAAATAAACACAAGGATAATACATTTTAAAATTCAGCATCTTCAGAACGTGTTTTGCTGATTTGTGTCACTCGATCTAAGAAAAACAAAATTTGCCCCTCCACAGCAGCTTCCACCCCCAAACTTTGCACCCCAGGAGTCCCTTAGCCCCCAACGGACACACAATGGAAACAAAAGCCAAGTGCGTGTTATGCAAACGCAGCTTCGAAGCTAAGGGTCCACGCCTCGCCCACTCCTATTATTCCCGCCCCCCACATTTCGAGGCTGGGAAACTCTCCGGAAGCCCCCTGCCCTCCCGGGTCGGCGACACCCTTCTCTTGCTCGGCTGGGGAGGTGGCGGGGAAGCCTGGTGTTTGGTTTTATTTTTATTTTCTATCTACCTTGCGCGCGCGTCGGAGACCGTGCGCCCCCTCCAGGGCCGCTCGGACTCCCGCCAGCGGCGGGCGCGGGCGCGCGTGGCCGGAGGCGCCCGGTGTCCGCGGCTCACCCCGCAGCCGGCCTCACCTGTCTGTAATCCGAGCCGCCGCGCGCCCAGCCCACGGCCAGGGAACAGACACAGCGGAGCTCCGGGCGTCTTCGCCTGGCGTCTGCCTTCGGAGCCGCAGTCTGGTAACGGGTTTCGGCTGGGCGGGCGGATGCCCGGGGCGCACGCAGGGGGCGCAGCCGGCGCGCAGGGAAGAGGGGCGCCAGGGCCCCGGCCCTGCACGAGGGTTTGCCCTCTCCTGACTGAACTCTGAACCCCAGGTTGAGTAGGAGAAAAACCCTCTAAGAATGACAAAGACTTTGATCCCGACGAGCCAGGGAGGAGGAGGACATTTCCTTCTCGGTGCGCTGAGAGGAGGCTGCTTTCTTGGCTCGCTGGCTCGCGGCGCAGCTTCTGGGAGACTCTGCGGGTATATTTTTATCTGCCAGGGAAATGGAGATTTGCTAGAAGGAAGAGGCTCGGTTGAATGAAAGGGTGAAAATAAAGTACAGCTATGAAATCGCACCGTTCTCCCTCGTCTTTCCAAGTCTTCAAGACTTGATTAAAAATGCTTTGTTTTAGGAGACAGTTGACCCCATTTGTAAAGCCTCCCCCTTTTATTGGATTCCAAATTCAGTAGTACCTGGACCTCTACTGTTCCAGATTATAGGATACTGGACCGCCTAGTTAGAAACCTCAGCAACGGAAACTTTAGGGGCTTGACAATAACGAATAACAGAATCACTACACTTTTTTTTTCACTTTTATTTTAAACTATTGAAAAGCATCGACTGTGATTTTTTTTTTTTTTTTTTTTTAAGACAGGGTCTTGCTATTAGTTCAGGTTGGCCCTGATCTCACTGTGTAGCCCAGGCTGGCCTTGAACTCATGGTGAGCCTCTTGTCAGCCTCGCCAGTGCTGGCATTACAGGCCTGCACCACCATGTTCAGCTGTGATATTTGCTGCCTGTTCCTTTGAAAGAAGAATTATAATGTATTGTCTTCCTCTTCTGTTTTTAATTTATCAGACTGGATAGGGTTCATCAAGTTTTTTTTTTTAATTTAAGACCTTTACTAACAAGTGCTTGCAGTTTGTTGACTTTTCTGAAAAAAATCAAGTTGTGAACTTTTATTACAAATTAAAAATTAAGTTCTTAAAAATCTCAACTTGACCAGATATGAAACAATTTAAAAACCTTTAAAAGTGTATTGAGAAAAACCAGGCTTTTTTAAAAAACACATTTGGAATTTCCAAAAAAGATGTCTTTAGGTAAAAATAATAAAAGCCTCATGCTGCGTAGATAATGCAGATAGCTCTAGTTATCTAGTCAATGGACAAAAAGCAAGCCCTTAAGGGCTTCTATCAAGATTATTAACATATAAAAAGAACGAGCCTTTATCTTTGTTGAAGCCTCCAACATTGGGTGTGAAATAAGCCCCCAAACCTCCAGGAATAGGAGGCTTGACCCAGTCCACGTTACACCTCATACTGGGGTTGAAGGTCCTGTGGAGTGTGTAGCCAGCACATTTGAATACTTCCGGTACCCAGGAGCTCACTATTTCAAACAGTAGCTTATTCTCTGACTGGACAACCTGGTGTTGAGAAGCTTTTCTCTCTCCTTTGTGGAAATCTGCTGCCCTGTGCCCGGGCCTCACCTCTCTTAGGAGCTGCTGAGACCATCCCAGCACCCCTCCCCATAAGTCTTTAGACCCTGGGAGGAGTCATCTGTCACAACAGGGCAATTCTTTTCTTTTTGGGTTTTTTTTTTTTTTTGGTTTTGGTTTTGGCTTTGGTTTTGGTTTTGGTTTTGCAAACAGGGTCTCACTATGTAGAGCAGGTTGACCTTGAACTCAGAACGATGTTCCTGCCTCAGCCTCCCGAATGCTGGGACTACAGGGATGTGCCACGGAGCTTGGTAAGCAGCACAATTCTTCTTAATAGCTAAATATTGGAAGAAGCCTATATGTCCATCAACAGATGAGCGGATACTGGGGCTGGGGATATAGCTGAGCGTTGCAGTGCCTGCCCGGCAAGATTGAGGTCCTGAGTTCCACTCCTGGTACCAAAAGAAAAAAACAAACAGATGAGTAGATACAGAAAATGTGATGTTTGCACACAGTCGAATACTACTTTGCCACAAAAGGTCATTTGTAGGAAAATGAATACACCTTGAGACCATAATGCTAAGTGAAATAAATCAGTCACACGAGCTTAAACAGCATACGGTGGGCCGGGAATATAGCTCAGTGGCATAAGCGCCTGCCTGGCAAGCGCAAAGTCCTAAGTTTGATTCCTGGTACCAATCAATCAGTCAATAAATAAATAAATAGCACATGGTTTCTTTTATATGAAAAACCCAAAGTATAAAGAGTAAAAACAAAGATAGATAATAGGAAGTAGGAAGACCTTTCTCAGATGGAAAGAGGATGAAGAAATGGGGAAGGAAGAATTAAGATTTGTTATGTACATATGCCAAATCTACATAGGGAATATGAGCATTGTGCCACACACATGTGCTAATAAAAATAAAAACTGGAGGAAAAAAGACTTCTTTAATGCACTATTGGGTGAAAGGCAGACAGGTGCAAACTTAACAGTGGCACGCAGTTACAAGAGGTTAGGATGTTGAGGAAACATTCCTAAAGATTTTTTTTTTTTTTTTTTTTGGTTTTTCTCCGGTAACGGGAACCGAACTCATGATCTTGTGCTTGCCAGGCAGGCGCTTTGCCACTGAGCTAAATCCCCAGCCCCTCTAAAGATATTTTGTAAGGTTGTTATTTTTTGCTTTTTTTTTTTTTTCCGGTACCAGGAATTGAACTCACGACCTCGCACTTGCCAGGCAGGCGCTGTGCCGCTGAGCTAAATCCCCAGCCCCTTGTAAGGTTGTTATTGAAGCACAGAATTAGAGAAGTGGACAAGTGAAAGTTGCATAGCCTGATAACAAGTTTAGCAGCCAGATTCCCCGGCAGAAACAGCACTTAACAGCTCTATCCAAGATTAAGTCAACAGGGCTGGGGATTTAGCTCAGAGGCACAGCGCCTGCATGGCAAGCGCAAAGTTGTGGGTTCGATTCCTGGTACCAGAAGAAAAAAAACAAAACAAACAAGATTAAGTCAATATCCTGCAGGCGCCACAGGACAAAACAGAAGAAATAGAGGTACAGGATTATAAAGGAAAAGACAAGACTATAATAATCTGTAGTCAGTACAATTGCCTATGTAGAAACTCAAAATTATTAGAATTGCTAAGAGAATTTAGCAAAGTTATGGCATTCAAAATTGTGTGGAGTGAGCGTGTATACCAATTACATTTCCAAATGCCGGGAAAATAAACAGTACAATAAAATTCACTTATGACAGCAACAAAAGTACAAAGCTCCTTGAAATAAATGTTTACAAACACTGGCTTTGGTGTAGCTCAGCAGCAGCACGCTCACCCAGAAGGCTTGAAGCCCTGGGTTTCATTCCCAACATTGTAAAAGGAAGAGAGGAAGGGAGGGAGGGAAGGAAAAAGTTCACCCTTGTGGAAACTGAAATTTTTTTTTATTGGACAGCATTAGAGAAGACACTAATCAATGGAAAGATTTGCCGTATGGGGGCATTGGAAGTCTGAAGGACAACAGGAAGCCAAAGGTTCCCAAATTCTTCTGTGGATTTAATTATTTTT